CCGGTGATGTAAAATATTCGGCATGGTGCTTGGTGAATGCCAAGCGCTACACATGTGATGCTCACGGTTGCTGTTGCTTGAGTTTTTGCCTTTGAACAACAGAAGCCTTTGTTGTTCTTGCATTTGATGAAGTGTTAAATGTTGCACAGTGCTAAGCATTTTGATGTAAATATGCATGAATGCCATATTTCTATGCACAGATAAGCAAGGGCAGTGAAAGCCTCATAATGTGATTCTGTTATCTATTTTCCAGACTTCATTCTGTATAATCTGAACACCCTGCTTAGTCAAGGTCATGCCTCCTCTCTGCTGTACCTGTTACTGTATACCAAGTTCAGGCCATGAACTTACTAGATATTTTATGAATGAATAAGTAGTTGAAACAAGTCATGAGCGTTTGTCGTGGAATGCTATCCTCCAAGTTAACAGCCACCTTCATAGTCAAATGTGACTTTGCAAATGACCCCAGAGATCACACTTGTTGGTTGCTGACATCTGCCCATGGAAGGTGGGGATGAGGAGGGCCCCCCAGACTTGCACTTGAGATTCTGGTGGTTTTCCCACACCTCCTGGCCAGTTGCATGTAATTCTGCTCAAATTGTAGGTGACCTCCCTGTCTTTCCAGTTTCGCATGTTGCTGTGAGTAACCCTTTACCCATGCTCTGCAGGTAGGCCCAGTAAATTCAGTGCATCCCTAAGTTGGAATTTGGTATAATCATACTTTGTTTTGCCATTGGAGCCCTATAAGGAATGGGTAGACATACATCTCCCCAAGTGAAAGAGGTCCCACAACATCAATAAACAAGCTTGGATAGAATCTGTGTGTGTTTGTGTTTTCTAAACATTGAATCGCCTGGGTGAAGGTTTTCTGCTTATGTATAACAAATTCCATTGCCAAGTGGAATATTGCCCATTGATTTGTATGGGGCGTCTTCCTCAGCATTAAAAGAAAACCACTACTTTTGCTATCTATAGAGGCAGTGGTTTAAAGAATCCTTCCAGTAGCTGGGAAAATCGCTCCGTCTGTAAAGCTTGCCGCACAAACTTAAGTACCTGAGTTATGATCCCCAGCATCTGCCTGTTACTGTTACCTCTATAGAGGCAGAGAGAGAAGGATTTCTGTAGTTCACAGGCCAGCTAGCTGAGCCAACCAACCAGCGACCTTGCCTCAAGCAAAGAAAAGGAAAGGAAAGAAAAGAAAAGCAGCTCTGTAGTGACCGAGGAAGGCACCCAGTGTCAACCTCTGGTTTCTGTGTGTGTACATATACTCCCGTGTGTCCACTCCCCACCCCCAGATGTTTTCAGTGTGTCCTTGTCAAAGCTCTCTCCCTGTAGCTTATGGAAGATAGAGCTACTCCATAGTAGGCTTTAAAATTCTTTTGTAAACCTTAGATGTTGTTGCAGTAATTGAAGGTGCCGAAAGTGAGGGCATTTTACATCATGGTGTACCCATCAGCTTGCAGCTTAGTAAGTGAAGCAAACACGGCGGCTTTGGCAATTTGGTAGAGCTGGAGACTCAACAATTGGTTGGTAGAATAAGGTCCTAACTAGTTTTTGAACCTGCTTGCATACTGGAGTCCAGTGTGTCCATTGAAGAAACAGCCCAAGAGCTAACGGAATGGCTTAACCAGTAAAGGTGCTTGTTGTGTAAGCCTGGTGACCTGAATTCAATCCCTCGAACCCATATAAAAGTCGAAAGAAAGAACTGACTCCGCAGATTCACTTTCTGATCTCCACATGTACGCTGTGCCATGAGCGCACCTCCACAATAATAATAAATACAGTAGAAAGAAACTTCCTAGATACTATTAACCTCTGCCCCCCCAAAGGTTCCATTAAAGCCTTCTTCCTCATCATGGAAGCAATAAACCTGAAACCCTTTGGAGAAATTAGACAACTTAGAGAAGGAAAGCAAAAAGTTTGAGAGATGGTGTCTGTAAAGATGTACCACACAATGTATTTGGAGCTGGATTTTTTTCTTAGCAATGCATTCCTACAGTGTTCGTATCAGTAAAGGCTTTTATTCACAATCTAATTTTAGTAGCATAATAACAGTGGTTTTACAGAAGCTTAAGTTCACAAAATGTCTGTTGGTCCTAGCTGAAAAATGCTTCTGAATAGCTGCAAACTAATCCATAGCAATTACCTCTGTCTTCCCTTCTCCCTGTTGTCTCAGAGGCCTTCCTGAGACCCTGGAAATCCTTTAGAGTAACAGGAATCCTTACTGTTCAAAATACTTTTCTAGTCAGAGGCAATGGACATGGTAATTAGAAAGGGTTTGGATTAGGGCTTCTTAAATTTAGACCCCAGCATTCTTGGCTCTCTGTGTTTGTGACCTTTGGGTACACTCCTTAAAGACCCTCAGGAATGGTTTCTGTGGTGTGCATTGGGACAGACATTGTAGGGTCCTCCTGGGAAGTTCTGCAGGGTTAGACAGAGTGATGTATGTTTGTAATGCACCTTGCACAGTGTCTGGCTCTCAGAAAATAACATTCTTACAAACCCTGCTAACACAAGCCTAAACAGTCATCTCTAGCGGAAGCTGATTCAAGGCAAGTCCACACAGATATGTGAACATAGATGGTTATTTATTTTTCCCTGTGTGTGGTTGCACCTGTGGGGAGAACTTGTGGGAATTTAGTGTGTATTCCTCTTTAAAGCTTTGGATAAAGTATCATGCGAAAGAGTTTCTTGGTTTTCTCTGAGGTTGTCCACTCAGTGTCTATTGTTTCAGTGAAACTGTGATTTAAATACTTGGGTACTATTGTGAGAAGTAGCCCAAAGCCATTAGCACCAAGGGATAAAAACAGGAGCTTTTTGAAAACACTGGCTGTTTGTGCCGGGCTTTTCCTTGTATACGTGCAGTCTAATTTTAGGAGAAGCGATGAAGCTCCTCTCCTGGGCTAATGATGTCTGTCCATGCATCCTTCTGACTCGTTAAGTGCCACTTCAGATTTCCACCTTCACCCACTTCCACCCCACTCACCACGTGTAGCTGTGGCAATGTTGACAAGGTGTCTAATGAGCTCTGTTCCTTGCTGTAAAATTGTTTCTAACTCGACACATTTTGTCTGACTTTTGTGATTTGATGCTCATTACCTACCCTCGTCAAATCCTCACCTCCTTTCCTACAGATGAGTTTGTAGGACCTGATGTCATAGGCAGCAAGCAGCCATGATGAGTGGTTGAACCGTTAGACCAGGTGGTTTAGGTTCTCAGTGGTTTAGGTTCTTTCTAAAGAAAGAAAAAGTTTCTTCATACATATGCTTTTTTAGACCAGGCAATAACCTGGTCTAAAGACATTTAACCACTTTAAATGTTAGGAACCCAGATAATATGGAGATCCCATTTGTCTATTATTAGAACAATTAAAGTCAGCAATTTATGAACTGGAAATGAATCTTTAGATAAAGCAGTCTGCCTAGTCCTCTCACATTTTCAAGGGAGAAATTAAAGGATAGGATTCTAGCACAATCCCAGTAAGAATCTGATGAAAAAAATATTTGGAAGTCGAAAACATCCACAGATTTTTAAATTTAGCTTTGTGTGTCTTTCAGGAATAAGTTATCATTGAATTACTGAAATTAATTACTGCCCTGATTTTGAAGACTCTTCTTTGTATGCAAACATATGTACTTTAAGAACCATCCTAAAAGGGGCTGGGGAGACAGCTTAGCTGCTGGAGTGGCCAAGGACTTGAGTTTGGATCCTGTGTGATCCCAGAGCCAGGGAGGTGGACACACCAGAATCCTTGTGCACACTGTCCAGTGGCCTAGCCCAAAAGGTGAGGTACAGGTTCACTGAGAGTCTGTATTAAAAATAAAGTGAGTTTGGAGAGATGGCTCAGTGGTTAGGAACACTGAATGCCCCTGTACCGTACTGGGGGTCCATTTCCATCACCCATACAGCAGCTCACAACTGTCTGTAACTCCAGTTTCAGGGAATCCAACACCTTCACATAAAATACAAATAAATAACCAAAAAATTAAAGTGACAGCCTGGCAGTGGTGGCTTCTGTCTGTAATCCCAGCACTCTGGAAGCAGAGGCAGGTGGATCTCTGTGAGTTTGAGGCTAGTCTGGTTTACAAAGTGGGTCCAGGACAGCCAAGGCTACAGAGAGAAACCCTGTCTCAAAAAACCAATAACAATAATAATGATGATGATGATGATGATGATGATGATGATGATGATAATAATAATATAGAACAATTGAGGAAAACACCTAATAGTTAAACACTGGCCTCCAGTTGCATGCTCAACATATGTGTATACACATCTATATATACATGTGAGCCAACCAACACACACACACACACACACACACACACACACACACACACACACCAATATATTTGTAAAATTGTAATGATCAGAAGGTAATTTTTGTTTTTCTTCTTTCTTTTTTCTTCTTTTTTTAAACAGAATACTAGATATAACCTTCCTGGAAATTTCTGCTTAGATATTCGCATATGTCCAAAGGAATCGTGTCCTTTCTTACATACTTAGAGGACTTCTGCCTCCTCTAGGAATCGTCAGTGGTCACATTGAATTGGAAACAGTATGGAGTATTCTGTGCTGCTGAAATAGAGATTTGACTAGTGACAATAAAGGTGACATGGCCCACTCACTCCTATGCTGAACCTGTTCCCCATCCCCTGTCCCATCAGCTGTGGAGAAAGTGAACTGAGGGCCTGTCCTTATTTCTGAAAAAGATAAATGGCTCTAAGAAGGGCCGTTAGATCAGTAGGAAGAAGAGAGTGGAGTTTAAAGCAGACCCAAAATTGGGTAAAGTAACTGTTGGGATCAGGCCGTGAGTGTTGTATTAATGTGGCTGTGCTGCTCTTCCCTAGGTGAGAATTAATGGCAGTGGTCTCATACAAATGGGGAAAGTGGGTTTCTTCGTCTCCTTCCCTTGCTTGGGAGTGTTCAATTGACACCATTTTCTGTGCTTCCAGACTGAACAGGCAGGGTAAGAAGCAGCCCAGACTACTGTAGAGATTTATCTATGCTTTAATACGCCATAGAAAGCCACTTGTTTGTTTCAAAATTAAGATGAAACACCCAAGGAAGGGACTGGTTGAAGAGTTAAGCAGTCTTCAAATTGCCACAGCTGCTGCATCTGTCCCTATCAGCCAGATGGTTTTTTGATAGGATGAATCTCATTGTAGGAGAGATGGATGAGGTTTTCTTCTGTTTTTTTTTTTTTTTTTCTTCTTCTTCTTCTTCTTCTTCTTCTTAGCTCCAGATGAGCTTATAGTAGAAATGTCTGTTGAGGTGAACAGATTGAATAGGTTGGCACGGTTTCTTCCTTCCCATTGTTTGGAGTCATGCATCATTTAAAACATAGAGGTTCCATATAAAATTGTTTTTCTAGCTTATCTTACAAACACAGAGAGACATACATGCACACAGTCTCTAAACGAATGTGACAAACTGGGACATGATCGGTTACCCAGAATTTGGATTTTGTCTGAAATCTCTAGTTTGCTGTAGCCATTGCCATCCCCTATTATCTTAAAGTGAGCTCATTTCTCTTATGGCCATTTTTGATCAATGAATTGAAGAAGCACAGACTCACATTTTTTATTCAAGTTAACGACAATCTTTACATACAGTTTACTGTGCTCAGTCAGTGGATATGTTAACCCCAGGAAGTAGACCAGACTTTGGTATGGGGGAGGTATGTGTTCATAGTTAAAAGTATACCAACTTAAGTGTGGTATAGAAGCTCTAGCTAGATGCTTGAGGAATTTCTTTATGCTAAGACGTCAATAAACATGCAGTTTACTTTCAATCTAGTTCAAAGGTCTATTTTGTGTGTGTGTGTGTGTGTGTGTGTGTGTGCGTGTGCGTGTGTGTGTGCGCGCGCACTGTAATAATAGGAGCCTCTAGAGGGCAATGGAAAGCAGCCTGCTGGTAGGGTGCCTGGAGCAGAGGCTGGAAAGAACATTCAATAACAGTTTTTGTTTGTTTAATTTTGGGTTGTTATTTTGTTTCTTTTTCCTCCCACTGTAAGTCATAAACACGATATTTGCAGGATTTTGTGTCTTGTATCAGAGTATGGGATGAAGACTGCATGTGCCTTTTGATTGGCTGCTAAATGCCCAACAGTGGGGCTGTGGTCTTGGTACAAAAGCATTGTAAAGGGAATCTAGATTTTGTTCTCTTGTTTCTCTGAGGCTCATGAAGCTTTTTGTTAGACCAAGACTGAATTCATTTTATTCCTAAACATGCCAGGATGTAGCTTGATACATTCATTTAAATGTTTTGTTTTCCTCTACCAAGAAGTAACACGAGGGGGAAAGATTTTCACAGGACCTAAGATTCTTTATGTGTGACTTTCTAATATCTTAATATTTTACCTGAACAACAAGTAATTTCCACCCACAATATTTTGTTTGTCACTTTGTGAAATGTAGAGGGTGATTATCTCTTGTGCTTTTAAACTGCTTAAGAATGAAGTGGACCATATGTTAGGTTACAAGTCTGGCTACTGATGGCATTTAACGTTCTTCTCAGTCTCAGCCTTTGTATCCTGGGATTTGAAAGCACTGTTTATATAGTGGCTGGATTTTAAGAAATAATATTTAAATCCTTAAAAATTACTAGTAGACTATGATAATGGAAAGTCTTTACATAGTCTTAAATTCCACTTTAGCCATACTGTGATTGAGTTTGGTCACATGATGGTTTTAGCTATAGCATGGAAATTACTTGTATAGGGGTCTCTTAGTTTCTCCAGGATTATAATTTTCTGATGACAAGGTTTCAGTTTTGCAAGCCTTTCTGAGCTCTTCCTCTTAGGCCACTCATGGATCCTAGAACTGTTAGTTATACATCTTTTAAACTATTTTTTTGAGATTTTGCTTATTTTTATTTTATATGTATGAGTGTTTATCTGATAGTATGTTTGTGTACCATATGCTTAGTGCCCCAAGTGGCCAGAAGACAGTGGATCCCCAAGGACTGGAGTTATAGAAATTTGTAAGCTACCATAGTGGATATGGTGAATTGACAAACCCAGATCCTCTGGAAGAACAGTCAGTATTCTTTTATATATATATTTTTTCCTTCCAAGTATATTTTTTATCTTAAATTATTTATTTTTTTATTATTACAATTTATTCACTTTGTATCCCAGCTGTTACCCCCTCCCTCAGCCCCTCCCAATCCCACCTTCCCTCCCTCTTGTTCTCCCATGCCTCTCCCCCTATTCAATAGGTCCTCCTCCCTATTCATCTGACACTAGCCTGTCAGGTCCCATCAGGACTGTCTGTATAGTCTTCCTCTGTGGCCTGTTAAGGCTGCATCCCCCCCACCCCCACACACACTCAGAGGGAGGTGCTCAAAGAGCCAGCCACTGAATTCATGTCAGAGACAGCCCCTGCTCCCCTTACTAGGGAACCCACTTGGAGGCTGAGCTGCCATGAGCTGCCATGGGCTACATTTGAGCAAGGGGTCTAGGTTATCTCCATGCATGGTCCTTGGTGAGAGAATCGGTCTTTGCAAAGACCCCTGGGCCCAGAATTTTTGTTGTTGTTCTGTTGCTCTCCTTGAGGAGCTCTTGTCCCCTCCAGGTCTTTCTATCTCCCCCTTCTTTCACTGAGCTATCTCTCCAGCCCCTTGGTTATATATCTTAAATATATATTTAAAACTTTTTCAAGGCTAACTAGAAGAAATGCCCTGTTATTCTGGCTACCTTTTTAATTATTTAAGTTTGTGGCCAGATGGTATTTCCAGAGATGGCATGATTGATCTTCCTTCTTTTCATTGGCTGTGGTAAAGAATGATTAGAGATGGATTTTCAATGGGGGTGATGGTATATCATCCTTCTACAGTATTCAGACTTGAGAAAAAATAGAAGGTAAACTATGATTTTTTTCCCTTTTAAATTTTTATTATTTTAAATTTATTTATTTATGAGTGTTTTGCTTGCATGTCTTTCTGTACATGTGTGTGACTGGTACCCACAGAGGTAAGAAGACTGTACTGGGTCTCCTGCAACTGGAGTTATGGATGGTTGTAAGCCACCATGTGCGTGCTGGGAATTAAACCTGGGCCCTCTACAAGAACAATGCATGTTCTTAACCACTGAACCAACTCTGCAGCCCCAATTTTTTTTTTTTTTTTTTTAATGATCGTTTGTTGTTCATAGATCCTTCCACTTTAGCAGGAGGACGTGTCTGTCCCTGGTCACTTGATCCTTGTTGTTCCTACTCACAGGACCCAGACTTCCGTTACAACAATTAATTCATCTTAGCAAATCAGGTATGTCTTTAATCCTATCTGTTAAGTCACAATTGGTCTAGTGTCTAGGAATTGCGGATCACTCAGTTAGAAGGTTTACCATGCCTGATGCTCTGGGTTAAATCCTCAGCACTACATAAATTGGTTTTGTGGAACATACCTGTGATCCCAGATCTCAGGAGATGGAGTCAGGAAGAACAGAAGTTCAAGGTCTTCTCCAGCTACATAAACAGCTTGAAGCCATCCTGAGTTACTTTTCAAAACAAAATGAAAAAAAAACCAACAATAAGCAACAAGACCTGGGACTGGCTCAATGGTTAAAGTGCCTATTCTGCACATGTGGGATCTTAGTTTGAATCCCCAGCACCCACATCAATGTATGAATGCTGGGTGAGCATGTTGGTCTGCTTATAATTCCCATTCTCAGAAGGTGCAGACGGAAGGTCTACAGAGCAAGATGGGTAGGTAGACTAGTCATATCAGTGACCTCTGGGTTCAATTGGAGATCAGTTGTAAATGAACAAGGTGGAAATTGATCCAGGAGATTACAGGTATCAGCTTATGGTACTCTGCCCGGACTATAAATTTGTGCACACGCAAAACAAAACAGTACCAAGCAACAAAAATGTGATTGGCTCAGAGGTGCAAGAGGACCCACCTCTTGCTACTGCCGTAAAGAGCAAGCAGGTGACATTGTCCATTCCTGAGTGGAAGTGGCAGATACTCATAGAAATGAATCATTTAGCATTCTCTCCTGCTTCCTTCTTCAAATACAGATGTGGAAACCATCTTATGGGAATGCGGTAGAAGGCTGTGGATTGAAGCTAAGATGCAGGGCAGGGTGGAATAGAGACAACATTGTTGAATAGCTGGGGGAAGAAAGTCAAACAAACAAAAAAATCCACACAGGCGTCGCAGTACTTAAGCCACTGTTTTTCAGGGATTCTTTTATTTTTCAGCCCACATTTCCTAATTGATAAATAGTTTTAAGGCAAAATGGGCTTTTATGTATACCAGTTAGATGAGATGAAAAGTCTCAGTCTGCTTTTTTGTAAATATTATTTTCTGTTGGCTTGAAAAGAAAGACAGACGTTGAGGAAATGTAATTATACTATACATATGTGTGGTAAAGTTTTAATTTTTAGTTGAACCAGAGGCCTGAAAGTGTGTGCTAACAGAAAGAAAATAATCTGGCCTGGCCTGTTTAATTAAATCATTGTGAACTCCTCCTGTGGAGTCAAACATCAGAGGGGGCAGGACTGTATTACTTGGTGCTTTCAGCATTGCTGTTTCCATTTTTCCCCCCTAACCATTTATTTTCTTACCTAGTCCAGTCTCTTTCTTAGACTATTGTATCATATGAACAGCAGGCTTATTCAGAGACTCGCTCAGGAGGCTGTGACTGTACTACATTCCTTGAGTGGCTGAAATGATCAGGAGAGCTGTGGTGTATGAGAGAGAGAGAGAGAGAGAGAGAGTCCTTGGAGGCCAGAGGTTAAGGTCCAATGCTCTCCTCATTTGCTCTTCCCTTCTGTTTTGAGTTAGGGTTTCTCCTTGAATCTGGAGTTCATTAATTGGCTAGGCTGACTGTCTCACTAGCTCCAGGGATCTTCCTACCTACCCTTCCACCCCAACATTACGCAGTATTCCACTGTACCTGGCCTTTTTTTTTTTTTTTTTTTTAAATCTTCTGGGATCTGAACTCAGGTCCTCACGCTTGCCCGGCAAATACTTTACTCTCAGCCTTTTCTTTAGTCTTTAGAGTCTCTCTCTCTCTCTCTCTCTCTCTCTCTCTCTCTCTCTTTGTTAGCAATAATGAACCTTACAGGTAGTTCCAAGAATGACAAACAGATTTGCTTAAAGAACTTGGCTTTGCTAGGCGGTAACTAGAACACTTAAATAAAGCAGTATTGGCAGGCAGTGTTGTTAGATGAGTTCCTAAACCTCAGATTAGAGTTTAGTCTCCTTACCATTTCGGGTCCTTCAGTCTGTTGGTGACTGTGTCTGCGCTGTATTTGTCTGCAGAGTCCAGTGCTGGTAGATAGTGATGTCACAGGGCTTGGCCCAGCCTGAGACTTTTGTACTAACTCTGCTGCACCAGTCAGAGTCTGGCACTATGTAAATTCATTGCTGCAGAGCATTTACCAGAGCAGTGACTGCCTCATGCCGTTTCTTTTGTTATTGTTACTCTCTAATTTCTAGAACAGAATTTTCTTACTGAATGAAGCAGAATGAAGACTCAGACCTTTGCAGCGGTAAACTTTTACAGAATCAGTTTTAATTGAGTCAGAGTTAATCAGAATGTAGCATATTTCACTCCTTTTTATTCCTAAGAGTATTAAATATGTTATCATTGTGTGAGCCGATGTCACGGGATATTGATTCAGTTAAGGTGGAGACTTATTGTTTAAAAACCAATTGGTTTCAGTACATGCGGGAGCTTTCCTAGAAGACTAATGCTTCTGTGATTGAAAAAGCTTTTGCTTGAGTTCTTTTTTCCCTGTGAGAGTCCAATGAAGTTTGTAAAGAATAATAGTGTCTTAGACAAAATAATATTAAAGCAAACTTTTTTCTTTCTTTCTTTTTTTTTTATGAGTAGGGTGGGGAATGATTGCACGTCTTCCAAAAGGGCCTTTTTAGGAGAAAAATGGCCTTGAACATGTGTCCATTGCTTCTCTGGGGGAAGGTTGGTCTCTAGGAACTGAACTAGGTTGGTAAGGTGTGAATTCTTTACATACAGTAGTCGCCATGGTCACACAGGAAAACATGTCACGGCCTAAAACCACCCTACACTGGGCCTGGGCATGGTGGCTTGGTCAGTAAAATGCTGGCTGCACAAGGGATGGGGTTCGTGAAACACCTTGACATTTCAGTACAGCGGGGAGAAATCTCACAAGCCGCACTCCCAGATGTAAATCTGCAGGTCTGTAATGGCTATGAGAAAGGAAGAATCCGTTTTCTCCAGGGATGAGCCCACTGAGAGGTCATACAGTTTCACGTTTCTCCCTGAACACACACACATAGAAGTGACACTAAATGGACTCATCAGGTTGTATTTATATGTGCACATATGTGCATGCGTGCTTGTATGTGTGTAACGATAATAATTAATGCAGAAGAGGTCATGAATTTGAGAAGGAGTTGGAGAAGTTGGAAATAGTGTAAATATAATTCTCATATATATGAAATTCTCAAGAAAAGTAAAAAGTAAGAATGCATGCCAATTTGACAAGTGAAAATAAATTTTATTTTATTTTATTATTTTTTTAATCTTATATAGCACTATACATTTGCAACCTCAGTGCTGTAGAGGTAGAGACAAGGAGGATTCTGAGACTAGCTGGCCTGCAAGTCTAGCTGAGTCCACAATCTTCAAATCCAGTTGAGAGACCTCCCTAAAAAAAAAAAAAAAAAGTAGAAAGTAGCTGGGAAGACACTCAACATTGATCCCTAGCCTCCAGATGCACACACCCATATACTTTCACAGCTATGCCACGCAGACAAGCGCCCAGGCAGGCATGCAGGAGGAGGAGCCGCAGCGGCGGCGGCGGCGGAGGCAGCAGCAGCAGCAGCAGCAGGCTTCCTCTGAAGAAGACCCGTCTTACTGTGCACTTGACAGCCCTCCATGATCTGTCCCTCCCTAGCCCTCCCCATGTTGGGTTAAACCCTCTTCACCTCTCACAGGGTGCTGGGGTGTTTTTCTTCAGTTTGCATTTGCCAGGTGTTAAAAAACCCTTTTCCCCAGATCTTTACTTGCCTGGCTACTCCTACTAAGTGCTCTAAGATCACTCCCCTTTAGAAAGCTTTCCACACTAATGAAGTCTAAAGTAGCACCCTCAAAGTCCAAGTCACGTTATTGAATCACTCTGACTTAAGAAGAATGTAATGCGAATTTGAGATTCTTCTGTCTCCATTTCTGCTGACTGTCGGTGTAAATAAGTCTGCCTTGCCTACCTTTGTTATCCATTCTGTTTGCCTGTGAGAGGGGGATGGGCATCTCAACACCTAGAGCACACAATAACCTCTCATAATTACTTCTCAAGCAAAAGAAAAACTAGGGGAATAGCATATGAATACATCTGAAAATATTCTATAAGAGATTGACATTTTGGTTCCGGGGCTTAAAGCCAGGGTCTCAAACATGGTACTCACATTGTATTGCATAAGGTAGCGTAAGGTAGACTATATGGAGCCATGTTTGTCATAAAGTGTCTACCTCCTTGGGAATTGTCATTTGAATAAACCTCAGCCCCTTTATTTTTTTTCTTTCTAAATAGTTTCTTTTTTATTTAATTATTTTAATTTTTATTAATTACAGTTCATTCACTTTATATCTCCCCATACCTCCCTCCCTCCTCCTCTCCCAATCCCATCCTCCCTCTTCGTGTCCTTCTCCCAGTCCACTGATAAGGGAGGTCCTTCTCCCCTTCCCTCTGACCCTAGTCTATCAGGTCTCATCAGGAGTGGCTGCATTGTCTTCTTCTGTGGCCTGGTAAGGCTGCTCCCCCATCAGGGGGAGGTGATCAAAGAGCAGGCCAATCAGTTCATGTCAGAGATAGTCCCTGTCCCCATTACTATGGAGGCCACTTGGACACTGAACTGCCATAGGCTACCTCTGTGCAGGGGTTCCAGGGCATCTCTATGAGTAGTCCTTGGCTGGAGTATCAGTTTCAGAAAAGACCCCTGTGCCCAGACTTTTAGGATCTGTTGCTGTCCTTTTGGAGCTCCTGTCCTCTCCATGTCTTACTATCTCCCACTTCTTTCATAAGATTCCCTGCACTCTGCCCAAAGTTTGGCTATGAGTCTCAACATCTACCTTGATACCCTGCAGAGTAGAGTCTTTCATAGGCCTCCTGTGGTAGGCTCCTGTCCTGTTCCCTCCCTCCTCTGATGTCCATCCTCTTTGCCTTTCTGAATGGGGATTGAGCATGTTAGCCAGAGTCCTCATTCCTGATTAGCTTCCTTAGGTGTACAGATTTCAGTATGTTTTATTCTATATTATATGTCTAGTATCCACTTATGAGTGAGAACATGGTAATCACATTGTTTTGCGTAGCTACACCGTGGACAATAAGGAGTCATGTTTGTCATAAAGTGTCTACCTCCTTGGGAATTGTAATTTGAATAAACTTCAGCCTCTTTATTTTTAAAAAGTTTACACATAGCTCCGATATCTACTTGGCATTTGTGCTTCAGTAAAACTCAAGCCTCTGAAGCCGGGACCTTCATATTTTGTGCTCTATGACTTTTTTACTCTAATGTAACTACATTAAAATGAGTATACTTATCAAATAATTCATAAGTTACAACAGTTTTGTATCCCTCTAGAACATTCCGTTATTATATTGAAAGGTACTTATAAGTCCCAGAGTGTAGAAAGCTCTCTTGCTTTGGCTTCATAGTATGTATGCTGTATGTGTGTGGCCTTCCTTATTTTTCCTTCTGCATCACCGTTAATATTACGTTGGATTATGTTCTTTCTGTCTTGTTTCTTACCTTTGTCATGAAGGCTATAAAAGTGGAGAGTGATGTTTTCATGGCTCTCTGGAGAGGATTTAGAGTCCTCAGGGAATAAGAAGATGGTCCTGTAAGTCTCACCCATACCAGGTCCCATCCAAGCTCCTAAGGGTAGAGGGCCTCAGTGTCTCTAAGCCCCCTGATTGAAAGGTTGTGCTTTAATGCTCTTACTGACAGTGGTATAGAGATTTTATGGCCTCCTTTTGGATTGGTATGTATGAAATACCATAATTCTCTATCCGTGTTTTCAAAATAACCATCTGTGAAGTGAAAACAGCATTAATCAGAGATTCCTAATCATTGTGCTAGAGAGCCTTGGTTTCTTTAACCCAAACCGACAGACAATTTACACAAGACGACAGTATAAAACAAACAGAAAACCAAAGACAACCTGCTCTTGCCTTGTGGAAGAATGCTCCCAGACTTGGTAGCACGTCTGAGTCACTCTATGCAATGTTATGTGGAGTCCTTATGTACCACAGGCAGTGTCTTCACCAGGTAGTTAGCACCCCTCCTTGAATATTCCTTCCTAGCCTTCCACTTTGTCATAATTGAATTCAAAAGCAGGGGTTCTCATTGTGAAATATTGAGCTAAGGTATTTTATGTAAAAAGCATTGAATTATTCTCCAGGTAGCATAGTTTAAATAAGATGGAAGTGTAAATCTAATCAGCTACAAGACTATGTCTATTTTATACTGCATAGCTTCTTCAAAGCACGCTGATTCATATGCAGCAGAATAATTCATTTAATCTCAAAAGGCTTTGCATAATTTTATATTTCTCTTCTATACTTTTTTTGTGTGCCAAGTGTACATTCATGTAAATTACTTTTTGCCTGTTAACTGGCTCCAGAACAGATTTGAGAAGCAATGGAATATTAACCCTTCACACATTGATCATTCTCTTTCCTTCTTTTATTTTTATTGCTAAGTAGATTACTTGGAGTTGGGCTTTTAAATATTCACTTCATTTTTAATGATGTGTATGCGTTGGTGCACTTGTATGAGTGCGGGTGCTCACTGAGGGTGTTAAATCCCCTGCAGTTGGAATTATAGGCAGTTGTGAGCCATCCAACACGAGTGCTAGGAACTAAACTTGGACTCTGAAACATCAGACAACTGCTAACTATATATTGTCATTTGGTTATTTCTGACAAAGATCTTGTGCTGGCTTGTTTTATGTCACGTTACACAAGCCAGAGTCACTGGAAAAGAAGGAACCCTAATTGAGAAAATGCCTCCATACAGTTTGGCTGTAGGGCATTGTCTTAATTAGTAATTAATTGGGAGGACTCATTACATTGTGGCTGAGGCCACCACTGAGCTGGTGGTACTGGCTCTATATGATTGAGTAAGCCATGAGGAGCAATCCAGTTAGCAGCATTCCACCCTGGCCCCTGCATCTGCTTTTGCCTCCTGGTTCCGCCATGTTTGAGTACCTTTCTTGACCACCCTGTGTGATAAACAATGATGTAGGAGCATAAGCCAAATAAACCCTTTCCTTCCAGGTTGCTT